GCTGCAATGGCACTATGACATCTGTTACTGATCACGGGGGAATCTCTCTGTTCAGAAACGTGACCAAACTAATAGATTTATTCTGCTCCAGATTCTTCAGGTGCTGGTAGTATACAACAATACACAAGATTCAAAGAATTGGGAGGGAGGGAGGGATTTAGGTTTTATAAGCACATATATTCTAAATACAATTTTATTCTGGATCAATGGTATTGTAGCTCTTAAGGTGAGAAGTGTTTTGTTATTGTATATGCACAGGGCCTAGCGATATTGACCTTTATTCTGTGACAGCAGTCATCATCTAAATAATAACGTTGCACAAAATAACAATAGCTGCCTTCAAATCTCACTGGCGAGGTGATAAAATATGATGTATATTCTGACGTACTTAGAGAAGTTCAACAGAATTTTGCTGGGCCTTATTCACAATTCCTTATTTAGTAGGAATTTTGTAAAAGTCCTGTGTGACTTTTAATACATTGTGACATATTTGCCATGGGATTCAGCACTCTATTGGTGTGGTTGTGCTGTATGAAATACTTTGAAACAGAACTAAAATGCTGCCAAGGAAGTTCTTGGAAATTATAAGGTAGGCTCTTTAACGTGTCTTCCAACTATATGCAAAGCATTCTATATACGATGCCCAAAACCAGAGAAATCATGGCAAGAGATCGCAGTGAATCTTTTGCAAGGTAAAACAATTTCAGCATAAGCTAAAAAAAAAGAAGTCATGTATCTAGTCTAAAAATTATATTAGGAGTGTTAAAATTATGCAATAATTCTATACAAGTTGAGACCAATCTATTTAAAAGTAATGTGGAATACTCCTTTTTGCTTGGTGATAGTTTATTTGTATAATATCTATGTTTCTGGGCCTTCCAGACATGTTTATGTAATATTGTATTCATTGATGCATAGTCTCCATTTTCTTCTAAACTGGGGTCAAAAGTTTTTGTCACAGATCCTTTCATAAAGAAAGTTATTCTAAATCACATTTCTGTTGCTGGACACCTGGCTGTCTTATATCAGAAGTATTTGGGCTTATGGTCTGAGCCTTACTGTCCTTGAATGTTTTGATAATCTATCTCCATTTCTCTAAAGACAAGTTAACTTAATCTTTCTGCCCAACTCATGAGGGTTTTTTATCACTTTTTTTCCCCCTCCTGCTTTCCCATTTACTGAATTTAGTAGAGGGTGCTTCAATTTTATTTTTCACAGAGGAAGTGGCAGCACAGAGAAAATCTTATTTGGTGTGAATCCTTCTCCCAACTTGAGGAGGAAGAAAATCGTCTGCATGTCAGCAGGTGCACACCAGCCCTTGGTGCTCAGAGAGCACAGAGTTAAATTAAAAGCATGATTATTTTACCTTTATTCATATGCTTCTGTTTTCTGAGCTGACATCTTTGAGGTTTTTGATGCTGTATTTCTGTCTTATCTTTTAAGGGCGGAAGCTTAAGTAAAATGCCTACCATTTGTAAAATAAGGGACTTCCCAGCTGTCTTTACATCCAAGGATTAGTTTATGACATAACTTTGTATTTTGCTACCAGTCTGTACTTTAGGTTTGTTAGGTACTGAATTCTTCCCCCCTAAAATGTTAAGATTAGCTGCACTTTTTAATAGAAACATATATTGAATAAGCAGACAGAAATATATGTTAAATAAATGTATAAATAGAAGATTATTTGCTTTAAAAAGTGAATTGAATTATTTAATAAAAACAGAGTTAGCTTGTCTTATAAAATATTAGCATGGTTCACTGGATTTTTGTACTCTAAAGCTTAATAAAATATTTAAAGTACTGCTTACATGAAGATTTAGCAAGTGCTTGTTAGATGATCAATTTTGAATGGAAGATACCCTATTGCAGATGCTATAAGCTCCCTATGAGATGAAACATAGAGTAATTGCCAGTAAGTCAGTGCCTGGTCAAGTAGTGCAAACAGTTTAGGCTTTAGAAATTAGCTGTTAAACTTCCATGGTTTGAAAAGACAAGGTAGATGGATATATAGATAATTAAAATCATTTGTGGATAGATTTCAAGAGCATAAGAATTTCGGCATTATCTGGAAGCAGCCTGGATTTGTTGTCATACCATATCCTTCTGAGTGTCTCAGGAACACTGTTTGGCATGGCTCAGTGAGGCAGACAAGATGTGCAGGTCTGATAGCGTTACACTTTAAATACTTATCACTTGGAGTTAATGTAGCAGGAGAGTCTCTGGCAACTTTGTTAGTAAATCCACTCATTAGGAATAGAGAGATCCAAACAAATTTTCTTAACCCGGAGGAAGATGCCAGGCAGGGTTTTCTGTCATTACTTTTCCCTCGGCGTTCTCCAGCCAGCCGGCGCGACCACTCTGGCATTGTATCCATGGGATTTGAAGCAAAGGAGGAATAGCTTAAAGTGAGGAGTCGTGCTGTGTGCTGCCTACGACTTCACACTGCTGAATTCACATATAAAAGTTACCGTTTTCTTTCAGTGCCTTGATGCCTGAGGTGGACTGTCAGAGCTATGACAGCTCACACCAGCACAGATATGTGGCCATCTCCCGAGTTTATCTATGGGATTAACTCCTCAAAGGCTTTGAGAATATGGATTACAGTCTCTAGTAGGCTGTGCTGTACCAAAGCCAACGTCTCAGCTCTCACTTTCTCAGAGAAAAAAAAAGGAAAAGACCAGGGGCAGACTGTTTTGTTGCATTGGGGGTTGGACTAGATGGCCTTTAAAGGTCCCTTCCAACCCAAACCATTCTATGATTATTTTGTTAAAGCTTAGAGTATATGGAGTTCCATTCAAGTGCTCGTAAAATGCCAGTTTCCATTTTTAGTTTGTTGAGCCTAACAACAAGAGCAGGAGGATTGCAGGTTGGTCAGGCAGCTTCTTATTTTTAATATGGAAGCTGATGTTTAGGAGGAGGAATATTATATCTACTGTATGGCTTTCCTTCAGTCCCCAAAACCATACACACTGCGCATAGAGAGGGAAACAGCCACCTTTGTGTTTGGCATTTTCCTGAGATCTGTGTAGATATTGTTTGTGAAATATACCTGGACATAGCATTTACCAGATGCAGCCAGAAGTGAAAGAGCAGTAAAGGTCAAGTGGTAAGAAACTTTATTGGGACTTAATGAATCTGCATACTTCTGTGAGTCTGTAAAATCGAAGTAATGGTGTTGTAAAGTGTAAAACATTTTTTACATAGGGCTAGGTAATATTATTTTGGTATTTGCTACATAGAAAATGTCACAACTTTTAATGAAGTACCTTCTTAGAGAGGATTTAAACCACAAGGGTTTTGTCTTGAAATCGTTGGTAATCCTCTGAGCTCAGAAGCCAAGAAAAATTGGGATTTGCTGTTGTGCGTTGGTAGATCTAGTGCGTATCCTTCTGTTGTTACTGCCATCAAGTTTAATATTGTTCAAAATGAAGTAACCTATGTAGCATATTTCACGGGATCATGTTTGTAATGCAGATATTTTCAAGGAGAGGGCTTATGCCAATATGTTCTAGTTCATCTATTAACCTTCCGTAGCAAAATCACCTGCAAATAACAAACCTTGTTTGTCAACTGCTGGTATTTTTCTCAGGCTGCAGTGGGGCAAATTAATTTCTAGTGTCTCTACAGTGCATTTCTGATGAAGCCGCTATACCTGTATAGGTTGGTCCATTACTATGCAAGGATCCAAGCATGGGTCCTGGAGGATGAAAGTTCCATCAGCTGAGAAGCAGTCCACAGTGCCACGTGGTGTAACTAGAGGGCTTTCCCCTCCACAGCTAGCTCATTTGGTGCTGGATCCTCTGACCATACTGTATAGGTGGCACGCAGTGGGCAAACACAGTGTAGGCATGCACTTGGCTTCAGGAGGACCTGGGTATCAGCAATTCATGAGTGTCTTTTACCTATTAAAAAATGCAAACACCTCTCTAGTTCTGTTTAGCTGTTCGTGTGCTTGGTAAGTTCAAAATTCTCCACAGTGTGCTTTCTTACCATTTTTAGCTATAATGTATTCATTTTGCAAAGCCTTATTAGGTAAGGCCAAGCCTTACACTACAAAGTTGCCTACGTAACAAATTGGTGGAAAAACCCCTGGTGCAAAGATCTTTGGCTGAGGCTTTGTTGTTCGTAGAGTTGTATACGTGTGTTAGGAGAAAAACTCCAGGTAGTATGTGCCATGGTTAGAGGCTCTTCCAAAATAATTATGCTTGCATGAACTAAAATTAAAGGATTTACTGTAGATAGGCTCAGGGAGTAGTATTTCTTTTAGAAATTTTAATTGAACAAAATTAAGTTTACTGGTAACTCACAGAGTGTGTCTTAACTTTGGCTTTGCTTTTCATTTCTGTTGCTGCCTGTGGTTCTTTTTGAGCACTTACTAAATATATTTCTTTAGAGTACTTCCTGGGCTGTAACTAGTTGCTGTATCCATAATCAGATCTTGTTATGGTAAGATTATGTGCAAGGAGATATGAATTAGTGAACTGAGGATTTAGGACACAAAAAAATCTTTTAACTGACTAATTTTGGCAAAGTTGCCAAAAGTTTCTATCTGAGAGATTGCTGTTTTCTTTGTACTTAACCCAGGAAAGCTGCGATAAGTAATGTGGGCTATAGTCAGATTGCTCACTATTGACTTTTTAATGGAGTTCCCTGTAGTCTGTAGCGGAAGCCAACAAAAATAAACAGCAGCAGAAAGCCTGTCCCTACTTGTGGGATAAACTCTGAGAGACCTCCTCCCTTCCATACCGTATTTTGGGTAGTTCTGTTTTCTGTCTGGACACCAGTGTATTACTAATGTTTGGGGGGGGGTCGGTCTTTTCTTAAAGGGAAAGTACCTTTTTTATGTTAAGTGTCGCGACAAGTATCGTTTCTATGACCCTTTGTAGACTGGATGTTGTTAGCTATTTGAAACATAGGAAACATTAAACAAAAGAAGTATGACTGCCTGTGCTCCAGCTTTATTTATTTTTATGCTTTACCATACACTCTCTCTTCCACAGGCATTTCCTATTCAAAACAGGAACAGGGACCACACCGCTGTTCAGTACTGCAACACCAGGGTACACAATGGCATCCGGCTCTGTTTATTCCCCTCCAACTCGGCCACTACCTAGGAACACTCTATCCAGAAGTGCTTTTAAATTCAAGAAGTCTTCGAAGTACTGTAGCTGGAAATGTACTGCACTCTGTGCTGTAGGGGTCTCAGTGCTGCTGGCAATACTGCTGTCCTACTTTATAGGTGAGTCCCATTTTTTTATAATTGTCACCATGAATAGGGATGTCTGATGGATTGTATATGGACTGTGACACACTAACCTCTAACTAGCAAAGTTTTTGGTAACAGTAAAAACCACAACAATGATTTAATGAAAACTCCCAATTGTTTAGAGGAAATAGAAAATTTGAATATTTTGCAAGCATTCTGCAGCATGATAGTGGGTGAATTAACTTCAAAGAAGTGTTTGAACCGCAATTAAGCTATGTGGTGTCTAGTTCTTATAAAAGTATGTGTAAAACACAGGCTGTAAAAATTCCATAATGTGAATATAACTTGCAGCATATCCATGGAACTCTTTTCCTCTCATTTTGTGTGAAATATAGCTAACATAGCATTTAGGAATGCTAACTATCACTTATTTCATCATTACATACACGTATGTTTGTGTATAGAGCTAGAGCAAAAGTCTAATACAGATTTTTGATTGTAAGATACGGAAAATAATTGTCCAAAAGGACAACGTGCAGAGAAGATGGAGACTTCTTCCTCTCTTATGGGTTGTTTATTTTTAATTATTCTCTCTTTTCTCTATGTGTTTGTTAAATTCCATTTCCCAGTTTTTATTTTAGAAGATTTCCTTTATATCTTCATCTCTTTAATAATTTAATTTCATAAATGTTCGCTATAAATATTATATAATTTCAGTTTTAAGCAGTTAATGGGGGCAGTGCTTGTCTGTGAGAAAAATGGCATTGACTTTAATAAGGGAATGGAACAGGCTCTTTTTGTGCTTATAATTTCTTCTGCAGCTTTGTCCAGATTACAGATTTTTTCACCTCTGAGTCCATAAATGGTCTTCAAAGACTTTCTTTTAACTGATTTGTTAATTAGAAGTTTAAGTCACCACAGTTATGGAAATATAACTGTAAGGGTCTGTTTTTTGGTATTGGTTGCACTCAGAGTCTTAAGAAGTCAAGGAAAGAAAATAGAAAGAAGAGAGTCAATCTCTCCTCTCCTCTCTCTTTTTAAAATCAGTATAAATTAATAATAACGCTTAGAAGGCCTTATGATCCTTAAATCTTCATTGCCTTTGTTGAAACAGGCTTGCTACATTTCAATCCAAGGCACAGCGTAATCTGTAGTACTTCAACTACTTCGAAGTAGTTCTTACTGGGCTGAAGCTCCTGTGAACAATGCAAGAAACTCTGTAGCTGGAGAAATTCCTCTCCGCTCCGGCAAAGCAGAGCTCCCTGAGCACCCTTTCCACCTCAGCTGCCAGCCCCAAAGAGCAAAAGGCATGTATGCAAATGTAGGGCTTGCTGCTGCTGTCCAGCCCCTTTCAGTCATTGGATTTGTGGTTGTTTTGTGTGAATGTGCACAGGAGTATAAAGGTGTGGTTTAGAGTTAAGTTTTGACACTACATCTTTTTTAAAGTGGGATTGAAATAATCCCATTTATAAAACACATTAATTGTGCTCAGTCTCCGTAATACTGCCTCGTAAATCATCAGAAGCAAACATCTGCTACTAAATAAATACGTAAATATGAAAGACAGAATTCAGTATGAAGTATCACTGTCAAAAACTGGGAAAAACAACCATACAGATAGTAAAATATTGAAGACCTGATTCTGAGCTGAGCTCTACACTTTGCTAGCCCCAAAGAGCCGGATTACTTATGAATCTGAGGGGCACAAGAAGATAGCTGTACCGGATTATTTCTCCCACAGGCACATTAAGAAATATAAGCATGTCTAATGCGCCTCTATTCCTGTATTCGGGAAGAAGAGCGGAGCTTTCCAGTGAGTGAGAGCTTTCAGTGCCACACATCATTTATTCACATACCCTGTAAAAAACCCCAAATATAGCTGTACAACAAACATTTCATGGGCGCACGCCAGCTCACATCCTTGCTGAAATAAACAATGCACAAGGGCCTTCCTCTGCCCATAGTCAATAGGGAGCTCTTTGCCTACTGGTGATATTACACATATTTCAGCTAACTCAGCAATCTAAATGTAAAATCCAGCACTCAGGAACACTCTCTAGAGAACTTTGGGTCCATAAAACCATGAATGGATTACACTCATTCATATATGTGGTTTTCGCATCTCTACAGATGTAATATCAGAAATACTCTCCGTTTAATAGGCCATCCAAGTATAAATCAGTGGAAATCATTAATGTAAGGTGGAAACAGTCCTTCATCTTGGTTAACTGTTTCATAGCATAGGAGTGAAAGGGAAATAACTGAGTAGGAAATTGGTCATAACATAAAAAGATGGGAAGGACTGCAGTATTGTGTGACCTCTAACATTCTGTGCCATGCCTCTAACACAGTGGTCTGGCTTGTCTGCTGAGGTTTACAAGTAGCTGGGGTGGTGTGTCACATTTGTAAAGCCTGTTTGAGACATGTTTTGAACTTCACAGAAAGACATTGCCACGAGTGTGAAAATGCTACAGCTCTTGCTGCAAAATATGCCAGTACACATTGGTAAGGAACACAGTGTGGCTGATGTTCATTGTGTGACTTTGGCAGCTGCAGACTGAAGAACTAATAGGTAAAAATTGCTCACCCCGTGAATGGTGGTGTAATCAGGCCCTTCTCAGAAACGCAGAGAGATGAATGTGTCATGCCCAGGCTTATTTTAGTTGCAGTGGATATGGGGTAGAGAAAGTGACTTCAGATCCCACTGCTTCTTCTGCTCAGGCAACATAAGGCAGAAGAGACAGTTTGCTAGACTTCATGTCTGCCTTTGCAGAACTGCTCAGTCAACTACTGCTCCGACAATTAGCCCAGCCACAGGAAGGAGCTGCATCGAGAGTCTGGTCTGTCTTGCACTTCTTCCATCACTCTGACAGGAAAGACTCCTACGTTTACAAAGTCTACAAAGAGGAGGTGAGAGCAGAGGATGTCAGCATGGGGAGAGACCAGCGCAAATGCTGCATTGTAAGGCCACTTAATGCAGTCTTGGGGGTCACAAGGAACTGAAAATGTTATTTCAGTCTAAAGGAAAGAAAGTCTCACTTCTAGCCTCCCCACATATTCTTGATTTTCTAGCCCTCATGGTCTCTCTCAACCATTTTGCAATGTACAAAACTTTTAAGTTTACCATTCTTGTCAATGAGACCTGTTGATTTTTAGAGAAAATACAAGTGAGTTGTGGAAAATGTTGGTCCTTTGTTTAGAGGCTTCATCTACTGTTAAATGGTTGAGAAACAAGGAATTAAGCAACAGAAACATGCAAGTCCTGAACCAAAAGATAGCACAGCAACATATAGAAGAGTGGAATTTAAACATAGCTCTAGTTTAGAGTAAAGGATTCAAAGAAAAGCTCTCTGAAATAATGGGTTAAAAAGATTGCGACTAAAGAATATAAACTGCCTCATTTTGGCATCAAGATTACACTGGAATTTCTTCAAGCTGCTCATTTGCTTAACTGCTATCCATAATCAGATTTGCAACCAAGAAAGAAAATGACCAATTTTTTTCCAACATGAACGTTTTAGAATCTTTTTCCATGTTTGGAATGCTAGGAAGAGCAGTATTAAATTTAGGCCATGAAAGAGTAAGAAATATGAAGTTGCCTTAGTTTTACCTCTTTCTATATACACACTAATAGTTTTACCCAAACTTTGTACAGGGAGTCTTTGTGAGAGCCAGAAATAGAGTCCAGCTTTACAATGCGCAAGACAAAACAGAACTTTGTCCTTCTTCTCCCCATGGCTTACTGCCTCATTCAGCATCCATGATTTGTAGTGAAATAATGAAGGGAAAGTTTTGTAAAGCAACTCCTAGATCAAACATGGGCATTAAATCAAGGTTTCGTATGTAACCTCCATCCTTCAGTTCTACCTTTTGGGATCTTCTCTGTCTACTCTTGGTTTTATTAAAGGGAGGAGTTTGTTGTTCTTGGATGCGGTTTTTTTCTAACAGAAAAATCCACAGTTCAATTATAGAGAACTACATCAACCAGGAGGAGCTGTTTCCAATATGTTGTTGCATAGCACAGACTCCAACCAGCTGTATTAACACTGATTGGTACTGTACTAATTATTTCTTCTTCAGTGTGGATTCAACAACTGGATGAAATTAATGAGAATTTGGGGACATCAGCGCCCCTCTTTCTTCCCCAGGAATTGCTTTGGCAATTGATTCTCCATTGCCAATGGCACTATCTTGACATTGTCTAAGTCAATACAAGAAGTTAGTGCCATTTTCACTGTGCATGGAACCGAAGAGGTGAGCAGTTTTCCTCAGTCAGTGCTAGAATTACACAATACCAGATTCAGTCAACTAAGCTTGAAGAGTTGTACGCTGAAAGATTGCTTGCATCTGTCATGAATGTTGTCTTATGTCTACAAAATAGGTTTTTATTAACATAAAACATTCTTTGAATAGACAGTGAGACCTGACCTATTTAGTCAGGCTTCTGCTGTCCTGACTTCTTCACAAGAATCTGTCATACTTCCAAATCTGTTGAGCATTTTACTCTCTGTGTACTGTGGGATTGATCATTTTGTTAGCCTTAGCTCTGCAGCCAGTGGTCAGGACAAGAATACATACCAGCCAGCTATTCTTTGTGATAAAGCAAATATTTAAATATCAGCGATAACAGAAGGACATCTCTTCTGTAGGGAGAAAAAAAAGGAAAGAAGGAATTTTATTTAATTCAAAAGGCCGCAGGACTATTTTTATCACTACTGCTTGCTGTGAACAGTTAAGCAAATCCATTTTGGACAGAAAAGAAAGCTAACATTTAGACTTAACAACTGAAACATCTTCTGGGAAAACATATATTGTAGTTTATGTTTCATTCTATGAGAAACAGTAGAAAAACTGCTGTTCTGCTATGACACAGAGATGACCATACAGTCATAATGCAAATTGCAAACGAAATGTGAATGGAAAAGAGATACCAGACTTGAAAGCCGTGTTTGATAATTACAGATAATTCATATTTTCCACATTTGTATAAAAATAGATACATTGTGCTTATTCTGCGGTTATTATATTCTGCA